CGGTCGAAAACGCGCTTGGCGGCTGGTGTATCACCGTTGATAGGTGGGCGAGGTGCCTTCAGCAGTGCTGAAGGCTTCGCACTCGCCACCGAAGGTTTAGAACCCTCGGTCCCATCGTCATAATCTTCGTAGGCCGGTTCCGGTCCATCAACATCATCGAGCTCGTCGGCGAGGTTCCTCGAAAGGGACCTGGTCGCCCCGCTCAGCCCCGATGATAGCGTGGCCGTCTCCGGCGTCGCTGCGCCTGGCTCTGGAGCCGGCGTCTTGTCTTCGTAATCTTCATAATCGTGGGCGTCAGGACCGATGTCCGCTTCGTCGTCGAAGCTCACTGAAAGCTCGGTGGCGGCTGCAAAGCGCGCAGCCGGGCTTGAACTCTCGTTGCTAGCCCCGCCAGACTTGGCAGGCGTAGCTGGTACCGTCGGTTGTCCTTTCGCCATGTTTCTGGTCTTTTTCTTGTTCTTCTTCTCTTGGTAGCTCGTAAACTGGAAGGCCATACAAACAGTTCACAATGGTCACAATATGTTCCCGGGTCGCGGCACCAGTTGTGGTGTTGGAAATCTCACGTGAACTCTAGCTACAAATGTAGTTAGGATGCTCCCACAACAATACGTCTACTAGGATAGTAAACGATCGTTCGGGTGGACCTGAAGACCCCAGTTCTGCCCTTGCATCGGGACAAACTGGACCTTGTAAACTACTTATATAGGCCACCCAGTAAAAATAAGAACACGCTACTAGCACGAGCAAAGCTAGCAGGCGTTATTAATCCTCGTGGTCCCAACAGCGGAAGGGTACCAGGCACAGGTAAGCCTTTTACGAGATCACCGAGTATTCAACACTCGGTAGGAAGAATAAAATGGAGGCAATTCAAGCACTCCCAGTCGTGCAAATAGGCAACAATAAGCCGTCACGTAAAACCTCCCGATAATAATCGGCCAATACACAAAGTCTCTTGGCCTTGCCGGATGAACCCTCGCTACAGAGCTTCGAGTTCACCGACAGGCATAACGCACTCAAACAAGCTTGACCTGACGCTTACCTTAAAGCCGGACGTCGCTCTGTGTGCTTGAGTGGAAATTCTGTTCTGTATTTAAGCTTACCCGTTCGGGTCTATTCTTAATAAGAAGTCCTAATCAAATATACAAACATCAAGTGAACAATGATCCGTTATGGATCTTCTTGCATGCCAAGCGTCGTCTGCACCGTCGCACGAGTATCTTTAACGGCCCGCGCCCTGTCCCAGACGGTGAACGTGTCTTCCGAGGGTCGCTGAGTCTTTCGCGAACTCATCCCAACCGCCACCGAGGGTTCGTACCGTAGATGATCATTTCTTGGCCGCTGAATGCGAATCCGGCCAGTCCATTATTAATAATAGGGACAGCCTGGATTCAGTGACAGATGGCCGTATCCGATACTTGTTGAGCGTTCGGAGGTGACGCCTTCGAGTCCCTGGCACCTTGGCGTCTCCGTATATCGCCTGACCGAGGGTTCGTCGCTTGAACATCTTGGGCGGTGTCACGGCTTTGTCGGCGGGTGATAATCCGCAACTACGGAGAAATCACTACACCACACCTCAATGAGGTTGCCGAAAGATTGTCGCGTCAATCTTTGGAGAATGTGATCAATGGGGTTTCGTTTCATCAGTGTACCACGCGCTGCCATGCCCGTGCAGCTCGAAACCTGACGAATTGACGCGTTGATACCGATTACCGCATTCTTAAACAATATTTGGTTCGACCACCTCTCGCCCTCAATTTCGTGGGGAGCATGTTGCTGCTGGTTACTTCACGCGTTCTATTCCGATTTTGGATCAAGCTTACCGACATGTACCAGTGGAAACTCCGCATACCGTCGCTGCAGATGACCATATTGTTGTGGCCACTAATGTGACCCAACAAGCTCAAAATTGGAGCTCGCTAGGTTGGTCTGATTCGGTTAGCAGAGAATTCGATGCTGAATATCGGAATTGGCCAGACTACGGAGATCGTTTTAAGCATCCGGAACAACCATTTGACAAACGAAATGGTTTACGTTTTCACAAGACTCAGACGATGATGCGTTTGTGTGTTCCGTCAACTCGGGACAATCATCTTCGAACTTCCATCATCTCTTGCCCCCATGGCTCCAATATCGCTGCTCATCCTGGAGCTCATCGAACGTACCCTCGCGTTTTGCAATGGTACCGTTGGCCCATCTTGGACCAAGCCGTTCGCGATGATGTGCAAAGTTGTGAAACTTGCACCCGCTGAAAACACAGCAATGCTCGCAACAATGGCAAGATGATTCCCATTCCAATTCGTGAGGAATGCTAACCTGTCGTCTCTATGGACTTTATCACTAAATTACCTGATTCCAATGGTTTTGATGCATTCTAGAGTATTATCGACAAGTTGTCCAAGCGGCCGAAGTATCGTGCTTGCAACCAGACTGATGATGCACAGAAGACTGCGTATCAATTCTTTGATTGCGTTGCTCGCCATGACGGTTTACCATCGATCGTCATCAGCGATCGAGATTTCAAGTTCGTCTCCAAGTTCTGGTCATCCTTAGCTAAGCTAAACTAAATTCGTCTGCACATGACAACTTCCTATCGTGCCCAAGCCGATGGACAAACCGACTGTCAGAATCTGGTTCTGGAAGACGCTCTACGCTGCATGATATCGTATCATGGACGTAATTGGTCGAATAATCTCGGAGCGATTCGAGTATGCTCATGTTACTCTCGTCAGCGCGTACCGGTATGTCGCCCTTTGAATTTGATACGACGCAAAGAACGGAATCCGTTGAATGCTTTGAGTAATCCCAGTACCATGAACTCAAATTCATCGTGGAATCGTTGAATATGCGAAGCCGTTCCGAGCCAAACGTCAAGAGATCATTGATTTGGCAAAGAAGCAACTTCTTCAAGCCCAAGAACGTCAGAAGAAGTACTATGACAAAAAGCGATCACCGATCATGTTCAAGGGAGGAGACTTAGTCGTGCTGGATACTCGCCGCATTTCATCCGCCTAGGTGACTCAAGGCATTGATGGGAAACGAGCTAAGCTCGCTGCTCGCAAGATTGAACGATTCGAGATTGTCAAAATGATCAACCCGAATGTGGCCAAGTTGAATCTTCCGCAAAGCATGCGTCGGCTGAGCTCCACGTTCAACGTGAACGTGTTGACGCATTACGTTGAGAACCCGTCGCGTTTTAAGACTCGTCCTATCCCAACGGCCTCGAGGCTGATTGTTGACAACGACACTGGTGCAACGATGCACATCATCGAGAAGCTTTTCGCAAGCGTCGATTCACTGTCAAGCCTGAATGGCTTGTGAAATGGCACGGATTGCCGGATCACGAAGCAACCTGGGATCGCGAAAAAGACATCCGTCATGTGTCGCATTGAAAGGTTCTCTTTATCGACTTCAACAAGCGTCAACGAGAAGTCAAGTCCGGGGGAATGTAACGATGCACCAACGTCACAGCCAGCGATGGCCATGACGTTGGTACCAATGCGGCCTACTTTCTTCAATTGTCTCTGTACTTGTCTTTGCTGACTGCTAGCTGTCTTCTTAAGATGTCAATGAGCGGCCAGGCAGACACACGCCTGACCGAAAGGCAATCACCATGTTTGGACGAGTATTGCCAAGCATGGAAAATCAACGACAGTCATTATTTTTCATTTAAATGCACTATCGAGATTCGGACCCGGTTCAAATGAACCGCGGTTCACTACTACGCTACGATACTTCAAGATTCGACTCAAGGACTACCTAGCACAGAGTATAGTGAAATGCATATACTTACATAGGATGCTACGCTAACAGGCACTTCGTCATTGCCGACAAACGACTAACCATTTCAATTTCAATTTCCACTTTACCTTCTTCGAGGCATATCAGTAGCCTCCTGCGCTTTACCTTCGAGTCCCCATCGTTGGACTCTCGTCGCCCTCCTCCGCTTCGTTCTTTGCCACGCGACTCTTCCTACGTCGCTGTTTCTCGGGGCCGTGCTCTCACCAGTCGTCACACACCAACTCGTCGATTATGAACGGTAAATCGTCGGCAGACATGGTAGAAGAGTATCAACAAGCACACATGACGAAGGCAAAATGTGGGCTGAAGTCGGCTACCACAGTCATGATTACTGCATTGGAAGATATCGAAACGTATCCAAGCCAAGCTGAGGATCAAGGAACTCAACAGCGGCATGCGAAACATCTTACAACTAGAATTGTAAACGCCTTTACTGGCGAAACAGAATGGCCCCACTCATTGATGACATGCTCGCTTGCTGGTCGAAGATCAATTGCAACGAGTGAAGCATTTTTGCATATTTATCCACACGCCCTTGTCGCGTATCTGCAAGGTGAGAATGATGTAAGTGGTACAGATTCAAGTGACAACGAAGAAAGCGATGAGAACGATTTTGATAATTCGAGATCGGCACCTGAACGTGACGGTGGTATTTGCGGAGAACGCCAGATTAACAACGACCGTCGCGATCAAAAGCCTAAAATCCATTTAACGATATCTGTTAATGAGCGCCTCTTGGATAGTTTCGTGAAAAATGAGCTGGAAAATCCAGTAACGTCGGCACATAATGAAACGAGTGGAATCTTCAAAAGTGCTGGTACAAGGTTAACGATCACGTAGTTGCCGTTTCCCCCGCCGAATCGTATCGTTATCGTGGGTCCCACTTTGCTGACTATTCCGCACTAGAATTCGTGGATATCTTAATACGTCGTGAGCGACCAGATAATTCTCAAACGGCTAGGGGAGACCTAGACGACTTGGGTTTGATTTCGACCCGCTACACCCACTGAGGCCGTCACACCTAGGGTAAATATGCGCGAAATTTCGCACACCAATACTTGGTGGGGCTCCACCACCATAATTAAAAAAGATGGAACGCCGTCACTTGCATTGGCAAAATATTTTCTTACGCTCATGGTTCCCTGGGATAGTGACGATGGCCTACCAATCTTCAGGGATAAGATACCAAAAGGTATGTATCACTACTTGCATTTTTTTTCTTTTTTGGCATGTGTTTTTGCGGCACCAGCATTCACCAAGTCTAGCAATTGTATTCCATGAGGAAGCCGTCCTGTGGCCTCATCTTCAGAGTCGTTATCGTAATTGCACCCACTTAACTCACACGGTACCCGTAAAATTTCAGACCATATCTCAGCATTCCTACTTCTCCACTCAGAACTAGTTTTGTCTTCATTGTTAGTATTTCGATATTCCTTTTCCGGTAGTCGAGCGATTAACACATAGCGCTGGCGGTTTATTGAATGTAGCTCGTCTACGATTCCAGAACTGGCAAATATGAACAAGCCCGTCAACGGTAGCAGAAAGCGCAGCAGCATCAATAACGTTGCCACCGTGGGCGCTTTGATTTCTCCCCTATTTTGACTTTTGCTGAGCAACTCGCTGATTTCTCTAAATTAAAAAAAAACAATTTATTTCCGTTGCACACTTTTTTTAAATGGTCACACACGTATTGCGCGATTGTTACCTGAGTCGATAGTCCGCAGACTGACCTTAGGTGTAACGGGGTTACATTGTGTGAAACACACAGAGGTACGGAGTACCCGGAGAGTTAACCCTCCCCCCCCCCCCGTCACTAAGGCTTGATAAGGAAGCATGTGACATTTTCCACATGTTTGATAATAAAGCATGTGAGGATCGTCATAGAATGGGCGTTTAGTCCGTTTAGTCCCCAATGTACAGGGCTTGGGGTCCTAACTGTAAAGAGAAAATTCCTTGGAGATACGCTGTCGTAAAGACAGTAAGCCTCTGAGCCATCCATGCATTCTCCAAAACGAAACGCGGGACCAAGATGCCTCCCCGCCGTGTCACGCGCGCTGAAGCGGAGGCGTTCCTGCGTCGTCTCGAGGGGAAGGAAGGCGCAGAACGCGCCCGCCTGCTTGAAGAGCACCGTGCGTATGTCGACGGTACGCGTGACCGCGATGCTAATTTTGGCGACGAAGCTGCGGATGAACCGCTTGTTTCAGCTTCTACATCAGCAGACAGAAAGGCGGCCTAGGATGACAGTGATTTCACGCAAGCCTCCTGCTCCAGCTACGTACCAGAAGAAGGGCGCACTAGTGGGGTATTACAATTTGCTGGCAAGAGCGCCGCGATTGAAAGGGAAGGAGTCAGTCGCAGCACTGTATGCAGAAAAGCTTGCTGCCGATGCTGCTTCTGCTGATGAGGATGGGAGTGACAGCGGAGACGAAGATTACGTGAAAACGGGAGAAGACCAAGGAAATGACGAAGCTGAGTTTGACATGGTGACAGCGGCAGAGATCACAACACCAAGGAAGGCGGCGAAGAAGAAATGACCGGCAAATGCGCCTGGCAAGACCAAAGAAAAAGGTAAGCGTAAGTGCGCACCATCGAAGAGCTCAAGTGCTGACTAATCTGCGTGGACAACAAGCCCACACGTTGCTGCTGATGAAGAGGACGTCAGGTGAGGAGATTATGCGTTTTGCGTACGATGTGTTCCTCACACTTCATGCTCGTAATTGTTTGTAGCGATGCGTCTGTTGGTGGCAATTTGGACTATAGCAACACGTCGCCATCTCCGCCATGTGCAACATACACAGCGCAGGCACATCGTGACCCATGTCGACATCGGAAGGTGCCTCCTCTGCGCAACAGACTTCACCGCTAACGCCACGACGATCTTCGGCTGTCAGGTACGCTGTCACATGATGGATATCAATCATGTGCGAGATTTATTCTGACAGCATGCTGTATATTACTGCTGATTTTGCAAGGTCACTGAATATGGCTACTGTTACTCACACAACTACGGTTCCCACAACCCCGCCTCCTCTCTATTCCCGTCAAGGTTCCCGTCAAGATGATGCCATCTATGATAGTGGTGCAATGGATTCGGATTACGATGATTCAGACACTGGGTCAGCTGAATGGTACGAGGACACGGAAAATTTTGGAGCTGATATGGATGATGAGATCCCAAGCGAGAGCGACACGGAGACGAGTGATGAACTGTCACTAGATGCACCTCAAACTGGCGATTCACCGAGTTCTACACCTGCAGTTGGCGCAGCTTCTACAACAAAACTTCGCGGGGGACAGCGACCTCCACGAACTAAGGAGGAGGCCGAACGCTGGAAGGACATCATTGACAATTGGCGCGTCGTAGAAGGGTCTGATTTGTCTAATCTAATAGATACAAAGTCCGCTACAACTTCTTGAGAGGAACGGCTATTCTGTGGGGACTATTCAAACTAACCGGTTTCATCGCTGAGTTGCAAGCCCAGCTACTACATATGGGGTCGGCCAAATTTGCAGACACGGTAAGGAAGGTGCTTATTCTGCTGGCTGCTTACATTGCTAACTATTACTGAATGTGTCCAAAGATGTACCCACCTAGACCAGTTACACCATTATATGGCGACGTTCCACCGTCCACCCATTAGCTAAAGATGGACGACGAGTGGGTGGAGGTGAATAGAATTCGAAAGCGGCGTCAACGGCAGTGCAACGTCTGTACTATACGGAAAACGAGCAGTACACAGCGGCAGGTGACGTGATTCTACTTGTGTGACAAGGTGCGCCAAGCACATTACCCAAATAGCAACCAGACTAGCTTCTCCATTTGGCACCAGCTTTGGCGCTATGGAAGCGAGCGCCCACAGCCGCGCCACGGCCGCGGTATCCAGCTGAGGGCCCCACAAAAAAAAACGGACGGGAGGACAAGGGGGACGGTGGAGACGAGGAGGAGGCCGCAGGGCTCGGCAATGAGGGTAGTGATGGTGGTGAAAAATCTGATAGTGATTAGAACGAGACAACGGAAACTGGGGGTGACGATGCGGTAGAGAGAGAGCACCAAGAGTAGGAAATAGTGAAGCTGCGTAAATAATAGCCCAAATGACTTGCTTTTAGCAAACAATACACAAATTTGCTATCGTAGCCGTTCTGCACATGACTCTGTCAAAAACGATTCATTCCTAATAAAATAGCCATTTGCACATGCACGATGTCGCGTATGGGCTTTACGGAATCTACTTACCATGCTGGATATAAAGCATGTGGGTCCATAATACGTACGATTGCAGGATCTTGTACAAATATAAAGACACCGATCTTTTTTTTTTCCTATACAAATTTTACGTTTAGACTTTTTTCTACATGCTTGATATCAAGCATGTGAAAAATAGTCTGTGCATTCAAGATTTGCTCTCGTAACGGGGGGTTAACAAACTCTCAGTACATAAGTCGGATAGTTAACAAGGGCTCTCAGTACGTTGGCCGAAAGTCACACGTCATGCATTTGATTAGGTTTAACTATGCTAGATAGTTATACAGATGCATTTACCCCTAGGCGGCTTGACCACAATATTAGCAAATAAAACACTTCTGGTTTTGAGGCATAAAGTTACGGCATTAACCTTGAGCCCTGGTCCTGAACTGTAAGTGTCCTTCGGGTGAGTCGAACGTCTTCCTCTGACGCTAAAGCTACGGCAGCTCCGCTGCATTTGGTAGCACTTGTAGTCAATTCCGCACCTGAGTCGGTTGTCTATATCCTCTGCGAGGATGGAACACCCCGTGTTCGCGAGTTTTCCCCCGGCACAGCAGGACGCGCTTACTAAGCTTATGTCCTTGCTTGGCCCGGAGGGCGTGGCTCATGTTGTGTCGCAAGGTTCAGAGGCGGTCACCGCCAGGCTGAGATCGTTCTCACGTTACGAGAGCGCGCTCTTGGAGCACGTCCAAGAGAAGATGAGCGCCGTAACGGCGGCGGCGTCGATGATGCGTGGAAAGTCTATGAGACCGAAACCACTCATGGTGAGCGAGAAAACCTTCGAGGGGAGGGAGGGAGAGAATCTCCATCTCCGGACATGTGGGGTCGAGAACGCCATGGGATCGGTCCTGCTGCAGTCTGAGCATCAGCGCGTGGCGCTGGCTATCTCCAGGTTTGGAGGTCGCGCTCGAAAATGTGCACTAACGTGCGGTACGTCTGTTGACGCTGCATGTCCCACTTGTGCTCAGCTGACGCAACAGCTTTCGCGCGTGTTCGCGCCGCCTAATCAGGCTTACCGTAGCCGGGCAAAGTTCCTTACTACCCGGCAGGGTAAGAAGGGGTTATTAGACTATGTCCAAGATTTGAGAGCTCTTATCGCCGGAATTGCGGCGGACCCTCTTCCGGAACTGGTCCGCGTGACCGTGTTCATGGAGGGGCTTCGTGTGAGCGCAGCTCGAACGGAAGTATTCCGTGTACACCCTAACTATTTCGAAGAGGCGGTGTGTGTGGCATTGGATACCGAGCACAACTTCAGGTCGGCTCGACCTGGTTGGAGCGCTGGTAGCGCGAGCGGTCCGGAGTCGATGGACCTCAGCTATGCTGAAGCCGAAGAAGCGAAGCTTCTTACTGCGGAGCAGCGCGCCGGCATCCACCGATGCTATGTATGCAATAACACTCAGCACTTGAGGGAATATTGCCCTCTGCGCAAGAAGCGCGAGGCTGCGACGGGTCAGCCCTCCGGGTCATCGCCGGGAAACGGCAACTCCCAGTAGGCCGCCCCGCGTCTACTAGGGAAGAACTGGATTCTGTTGTGCCTCTAGGAGGTAGAGGGCAACGGGGCTCATCCCCGAAGAGAGTTGGGCTCTCTTACGAGAAGAGTGAGCGCAAGCCGGGCTTGCTGGTCGCTCCAGTGAACGTGAAGGGCTCCGCGAAGCCGTGGAGAGTCTTGATTGACTCGGGAGCCTCGGGTAACTAGGCCCGTTGCTCCACCCTGAAAGGGGGTCAGCTGTATGCAGAGACACTGGAAGTGCCAACGAGAGATACGATCTCTGTCCGTCTCGCGACGGGGACGCTTGTAACTGTGTCAAAGGTCTCTGTCAACCTTAGTGTAAAGTTCGAGAAAATGTCGATAGCGTGTAGCGCTGTTTGGTCCTAGACCTGGATGCGAGGTATGACCTCATCCTTGGCATGGTATGGCTGGAACGCCATAAGCCATGGATCAACTGGAAGTCTAAAACACTGCTTTGGTGAGTCATGAACCCACCTCGGTTAGGAATCAGAAGCGCTTATGGCGCGAGCACGAGGCTGAGGCGGCCGTAGGACTGGATATTGGTATGTCCGAAATTGATAGCAACGAGGTTGCTGTTTGCCGTGAGGCGTACGTGGTGCAGCACACTATCCGCTAAGCGGTGCAGGTCAGGTCAATGACCAACGGCCTGGTGAGGACGAACGCGGAGTGGCGCGTAATCCACTGAGTGGTACGGATCTGGTCGCATACCTACCGCTGCGTGTCTCGAGTGCTGTGATCGACCGCGAGTCGAGGTATTGTGGGCGCGGCCCAAGGGATGCCGGTGAAGTGACACCTAGTCTCAC